TGCCCCATTAGAGAACTGCTGACTCTGTGACTGTAGCTGCTGGCCACGCCCCCTTTTGGCAACGGCAAGGCAAGCAGTAAGGTCTCCTCTCTGCCTGCAGATACAGCAAAATTCTGCCGTGATTAAACGCCATATCATGTTCCAAACCACTTCAAGGATTATTTCTGAAACAGTATGGAGCTCAAATCCTTTTTTTCTTGCGGGGTTACCAGGTGAGTTCCTTTTTTTATATCCTGCTTTTTTACACATACTCTCTCCAGTACAGGTTAGCTCTGAATGTTAGCGATGCTTGCTAATGTAAACAAAGACCATATTACGTCCAAAACACGTCGCGCATTGTTACTGATAGCAACGTTTCTGATAGGGTTGTGGGTGTAAAGCCAGCCCACATTTCCGATATTACTTCACATCGGACGCAAATCTGGATCAGCTCCGTTGTACCCCCGTTTTAAGAGATTTGGGTTAGGAGGAAAAGAGAGAGGGTTTTATTTTCTGACACTTTGTGAGTTCCCTGACACCAGTGGCGACTGGTCATTAGGGGCAGGTGGGGCACAGCCCCACCTAGTGTCAGCAGAAAGTATTACAAATAATGATTACAAAAAATGCAAAAAATAAATCAAAAAATATATAAAATATATTTTAAGATCATGTTTAATCATCTGATTCGTCTGTACATTGCTGTTTTAGTCTGTGTTCTTCTAATAAGTGTCTACAGTGTGTTCCTATTGAGCTGTTTAGAGCCATGTGGGACAAAACCTGATCATGCCCCTCCCTCTCACTGTCTAAGTGAATGGTGACTGTAAAAACTACACTGCGCATGCTCAGAGTATTTTCCTATTTAATGTGTGTGGCAAAAAAATAATGACCATAGGGGCACTGAGCTGCCATCCCCACCATACGTCATCTCACATAATTCACAGCTGATTGGCTGTAAGTACGTGTGCCGCAAAAAGTGTGGTGTGTGAAGAGGAGACGAGAGAGCTGCAGTGACGCGTCCTAAAACCAGGAAGTAAGCTGCGCATGGCTTCCCTCGACAAAAAAGCAATGAGATTTCTCCATAGGATTTTAGAAAATAGCTCGAAATAAGATCTGTGGGAAACGTACCTGTTAGATAAATGCACGTTTTGTTCAGCCGGATAACATCCACATGTCTACCCTACTTTTATAATTTTTGAATTATAAATCTGTCGATTAGATTCATGATAGACTTTTGAAACTACAAGAAGATAAGGAGGACTTTTACAAAAAAGTAATGGAGATTTTTGTCCAGAAGGATAGGCAAATGGACTTCATCTTCAAGTCAAGGTAAGACCGCAATTTTATTGAAAATGGGATCTTACTAAGAGAGAACAATTCAATATTTAAATGATACAATTACATTTGTTGGGTATCCTTTTGTTGAACTGTCTGTTTAAAATTAATCGAAGCATCAGACAAAAAAAGCTTTTTTAGGTCAAAATATAATATTTGTAAACCTGAAGAGTCAGTGCCAGTGCCTCACCAGCCATGAACCTCACTGCACGTCACTGCAGAAGCTTATAAATAGACATCTAAGTTTTTTGTGCCCCACCACTTTTGTACATATAAAGACGCCACTGCCTGACACACCGGGGACACATATTTATGTATAAAAGACATCAAAAAGTGAATTTTGCATGATAGGACACCTTAACCTGTTCCACTCTGAGCCTGTTTTTCAGGTCTCAGGCTCGAAAATGACATTCCCAGAACAAATGACCATATCTTCCCTTCTAAAAGGGTTAAATTAATAATCTTTTCTCAAAGTAATGATAAACCTGTGAGTTGGATGTAGAAGTGTCAGAATCAATATAAATGTTTTTTATTTTAAAGAAAATTCAGATTTTACATAGTAAAAAACTGTAAATTATAGTGTCCGTCCAAAAATTATTTTTTACAGATAGTGAAAACTACCCTTGGATGATGGGTTAGTAGACTAAAAGCTTTAGGAATCCAAAGTACAACATATAATAAGTACCCTGTATCAAGATTGATGCAAAACAAGTGAAATTTGACCTTTTTAGAGAGATTTAGCCAAAAACTGGGCCATCTGGGGTCATTTGGGTGGATTTGACCTATCTCTGGCCCCCCTTGCTCGATCTGGTTGGTTGACATACCCTTGTGACCGTTAGAGCCAATAGAATCGAAGGAGGATACCTACATAGACACACATTGTAAAGAAAAAATGTTGCCGCTTCGCGTGTGGAAAGCGAAACTAAACTGGAGGAATGTCTCCTTCTGGAGTTTGGAAACTAAAACGCAGTTGTATTGCTTATGGATTATCAGAAATAATTTCAAAGAAGGCACAGACACATAGGATGAACCTATGGATTAACTGCAGCATCGTTTTTTTATCGTTTTAATGCCATTGAAGACCACTTTTGACCAAGGTAAGCCATATTTATATGTTGAGCTTCTTGGCTCCACATGTGATGATGTACGCTTTCGTTGATAGCGTCGCGAATGTTTATCACTGAGTGTTGAGGTGGGCACCGTTAGATTCAGTGTCTCCAGGACACCAAAAAATAGTGTTTGGTTGTGCATCTAGGATAAGTAATAAGGGAGTTCTGAGTGAGTTTATGTGCCTTTGTCGGTCCCGTTTTTTCGATCGAGGCTAATTCAGAGGCTGAGTGCTAGCATTGTGGGTTTTTTTTGAAAAAAAAAATTAAAAAGATCAGTTAGCTGAGTTTCTTCCCGTTACATGGATATAACACATTCATAGTTTTATTCAATATTAAGATTCCTTAGACGTTGTTTCCTGCAAATGACGCGTTTATCCGCCCGGTACCGGGGGGAAGGCGTGAAACAGGTTAAAGACTATTGTTCTCATGATGACTAGATGTAGCACCTTATCACATCAACGTATATATTAATGCAACAAATGCAGAATAAATATAAAATATAACTGCAATAAAAAAAGATATACACATTTTTGCAGATGATATTAACCTCTAAAAATAATATTTTATCTTTCCTGTTAACCTTGTTAAAACTTAACATGTTTACTTATTTTCGCATTAGTTAGTGCTGTTGGGTGTAAACATTTTAAACAATATTTAAAAAATGTATCACCGATTAACAACTAATGCTGTTAATTCCACCAAATAAATTACAATAACAGTTACAGCTACATCTGAAGTGACAGTGGAGTACGGAGGAGGTGAAGCGTGGCTAACATCAGAGCGCGCTTCCACCCCGAGGAGCAGAGAGGACGTTATCTGCGTCACTGTGGAGCGAGGCAGCACCACTGTTGGAAAAATCCACCTCAGAGTAGTTGAGATTACTCGGGTCATCTTTAGTCTGCAAGAAACAAAGACAACGTTATTCGTCACATGAGCATCATTTATGGATGTGTACTGCTTCATGTTTTTGGTTGTATCTCTATCTATTTTTGCTTTATCGAACTGAAAATCTGTTTTTTTTTTACGGCACTTTTTCCTCCCTTCAAATCAACTTCCTGTTCAAGCTTGTGGTTTTGGGGTTTGATCACAAACTGGCCTCGTTCCTGTTTCTGTTTCATGGTACTCTTCTGTCTTGATGAAAAAGTACACATAGATCTTTCTTTGTTTAGTTTTTGTTTGTAAAACCTGCTTTTCCTTTTAAATATGAAACATAAACTGAGGTAAAGTTTGTTTAAAAACACATCTTTAAGCAAATGTCCCCAATCGTCTCTTTTCTGCCACTGAAAAAATACTTCCTCTTCTTAACAATGAAACAACATTTTCCATGTGTCTAAGGCCATGTCATAAAGCTTAAAGGTGGGGTAGGTAATTTTGGAGCAACCAGCTCGAGATCGCTAGAATTTGAAAATACACAACCGGAAAAAATCTGCCACTTCCTTACACACGAACGCGCACATGACCAATGAGGGCACGAGATAAGTTTGTGCACAGATGGAAGGCTGACAGGCAGGTAGGCCATCCAGTTATTTTAGCCGGGCCGGCTAAAATGATTGGTCGTGCTTTTTACAGTACTACAGCTTCCACAGATGACATTTTTTTATGGATTTGTTGTCAAAGCACTTAAGATATTAATTGCTATCGAGATGTTAAGAGCATTCCATGGAATATAACAAAAAGTGTATCTCGAGCCGGTTTCTCAAACCTTTAATACAAACAAAAATGTCAATCCATATTTCTCAACTGCTGTATTTGTGTTTGTTGGACAAATACTGTTGTCTCCCCTTTATGTGTTGTTTTAATGCACTGATATCATGTGTGACTCTGCACTGTGTATGACCTTGCAGCTGCCTCTTCTTGTGACAGGAGGAGGCAGGGCATTTCAGGTTGTTGATATTTATGAGAAGACACATACTTGTTGTCTTCTAAATCTCTCATTTCTATGAGGCGTGAAGGAAGTATGTGACGCTTTCCAGAAGACGTCACAGATGACCCCGACACCTTTCCGACACCCGCGGATGATATTAGTGTGTGGAGTCTATTTTTATATAACATTAGAAAGACTGATTCTTATTATTACATTATAAGCTTATTGTGCTCATTTATGTGGCTGTGACTTTGGAATAAATAGACTAAATCACCCCCCCCCCCCCCCCCCCCCCCCCAAGTTGTCTGTCTTTTCTGGAATTCTGAACCCAACAAGTGCCACCTGGATTTTACGACTTTGTTGTTATCTCCTGTATTTTGGATGTATGTTTTTTGCTGCTCCGGTGAGCAACATACCCCATGTATGTGAGTTCAACCATATCCTTTGTATGTGATTTAACTCTGCTCCTTCTTGCAAGAATAAATTAGTACCTGATTATTGATTCTCAACCTGGTGTCGAGTGATATTTTGCTAACAGTGTTTGAGGTGGAGAAACAGCTTGTGAACAAATCTAAACCACCCATCAATTATAACCTCTAAAATGTGTGTAGCTTAAAACCTAAAACCCTCCCACACTTACTTTCTCCTGAGAAGTGGCTGCATTGACGAAGCTGTACTCGTCTGTGGTTTCGACTCCATTTGGTTTGATATATTGGGCGTAGGAGTAAATGGTAGATATTAATACAGGTGGAGAACCGCTCCCTCCGTCCTCCTCTCTGACGTCTTCATAAACTTGGTTAGCCTGCAGGAAGTGAGAACAGATTTGTTTTGTTATGAGCTGGTTTCAGAAAATGTAGTATATCTGAAATGTCCATGATAAATGTCCATCTTACCTCAGTGTCAACACCATACTCAGGTTCCACAGGAGGATCTGTAGACAAGCAGTAAGGGAAGGCAGATCAACTTATTTTAACTGCTCATACATCTCAATACGACACCTAATGTCAATGGTTACATGACTAATGGTGTGTTCAGGAGCAACAAAGAGATGTAACTGTGGAACTGAAGTGCCATGTATATTACATTATTACATGTAATGTGTTAGATGCTTTTATCCAAAGCGACTTACATACTCAATACTGTGGACAATCCCCACAGGAGCAATTTGGGGTGAAGTGTCTTGCGGGACACAACGACATGCTGACTGCAGTGGGACTAAAACTTGCTACTCTATGATTCGAAGTCCAGCACACTATCCACTGAGCCACATTCACCATAGAAAGGCCAACATCGGTAAACACTGGCCATAAACTCAGTTTAAACAAACAATTTTGAGAAAAAATAAAGTTAAACAGTCAAGACTAATCATTTAGACCAAAAGAAAAAAACGACAAGCCTTTTTCCGAACAAACAACGAATCAGTGATCAGTATGCAGTGTATATCACATTAAAAAAAATTCTAAAGTTAGATTTAGATGCATATTGAGTTGATAAAATAGTTAATTATGAAGTGCATTGAAATGAAAGTAAATAATTTAAATGTAAATAGTTCTTATTTTGTGGATAAACCAGGGGACATTATCTAGAAACATTGAGAGTTTTTGAGCCAGGTGGTCACAATAGTTGGAAAAGGTTATATTTTAGTTTGTTATATGCCTGTGGGTTTCATGTCGCCTCACCTTTCCTGGCCCTCTTCCAGCAGAATATCAACACAGACGCTGAGAGTACGAGGAACATGACGACCAGAGTCAGACGCACATACAGCACCACACCTGAGAGCAGAAGAACACTTTGTTTACTCTGATACTTCCTGGTCCATAAACACAAACAACAAACTAAAAGTACCGTGACCAGCTAGAACTGTCTGTCCCTGTTGAGGCTGTGTGGTGCGTTCAGGGGAGGCTGAGGAAGGTTTGGAGCTCAGACTCTGTGTGGGGGTCAGTGTGGAGGCTGATTGGGCTGATGATGAAAAAGGTTGGAGAGTCACTTCTGGTTTTGAAGATGTTGGAGCTGTGAAACAAAAGGAAATGCAAAATATAAATAAATAAATCGATTCATTCCGTTAAATGAATACGGTAATTAATGTTTTGTGAAACAATATTTTAATTAGCTGTAATGTTTGTAGTGGTTTTCAGATGGGTAGCAAATGAACTTTTATTTTAATTTTAAAAAGGAGCATTTTAAAATATGCAGCTCTAAATATAATTGTTACATTGAACATATTGGGTAATTTGAAACATCAGCAGGTGTCAGTGAACAGTTAAATCCAAAACTACAAGTAGAAACTCACCATCTGTAACTCTGATCTTAAAGTCCTGGTATGAGTCAGGGAGGAAAAATCTGTCCAGACCACATTGGTACCATCCTGCGTCAGACTTGGTCAGCTTTGTGATGCTCACATACAGAATGTAGTCAGATAATAGAGACCCTTCCACATATCTGATGCTGTATCGGCCTCTCTGAGCTGAGTCTCCAGTCGTTTCTACCAGAATGTTTCCTTCTTCACATTTTCCCTTACAGAAGATCTTCCTTCCTCCAGAGAAAGTAAAGGAGCATGCAACTGTGATGTCTGCTCCTTCAGTTTCTGTACGGTCGAGGTTTTGTGCGTTGGTGAGCCCACTGTTTCCATCCCTCAGTGCTGTTGAAAAGATGTTCAGTCAATAGTAACTTTATTCCTGTAATACACTGCAGTCTGATTTCACAGTTACATAAATCATTCATTGATTACTATTATTATTATTCATACTGGGAGCTGCCCAGTTCAACCAGTCTGTTATAACTCAATCCAACAGAAATATGAATATTAGATAAAACTTAAAAAGCAGAAGAGATTTTTTTTTAAATAGGCTGTTTAATGTTCATTAGAAACTTGAACAAATGTTTTATTGTGATGAAGTATAAACCTGTATTGAATGTTCTGTTATTTAGTAATATATTTGTGTGTGTGCTTTTGTGTTGTATTTTTCAATGTACCACTTCTCATGTCAAATGACACTGCTGATTGCCTATCTGAGTGTGAAATGCTTAACATGCATTTATAAAACATCAACAGCTCTCAGTTTGTGAACAGACCGCTAAAAGATGTGTACTGCTGCAGTTCTTCCTCTTTAGCTGCTTCAAATAAAGTGAACTAATATTTGTATCACAAAGCTAGTTATTCGGGCTGAAGCGACAGAAAAATAACTTTACTCTACAACAGAAAAGGCAACTTTAAAACAAAAAGTACTGAATGTATGTAAGTCGCTTTGGATAAAAGCGTCTAACAAATGACATGTAATGTAATGTAATGTAATGTAATGTAATGTAAAAGAACAATAGTTGACTGCAAATTACCAATTGCTTTTTTTTGATGATATAACTAATACCTGTAATAAACTGCATTTAAAAAAAGGCACTCATACTAACTATGAGCTTCATATTTAACCACAGAAACCAACATGTGGTTGGACTGATATGAGATGATGACAAGACAATGCAGTGCAAACCTTAGTTGACCGATTGTTATTAAATAAAGAAAATAAAGCTCAATAACAGTAAAACAAAAGAGAGACTGATATAACTACTCACTGAGGAGGAGGAAGCAGATCAAAGTGTGCCTGACGTTCATGTTTGAGTCTCTGATGGTTTACTGCTGCCTCTCTTCTGTCTACAGGAACTGCTTTACTTCTCTAAATGATGCGAGTCCACCTCCAAACACTCTGAACTCTACTTTTTCATTCCATTGTGTTCAAGTATGTGTGGATTTACATTAAAACTTGACTTGGTTGTAACTTAATGCAGTAATAATTTCATATTTGTGTACAATTATTCGTATAGCTGTCATAATAACCACTTTGCCATCATTGAGTCCAGAGTGTCCATTTTCTTTTATTTAATCTACAAGTTTTCTGAGCTTCAACAAAATATACATGTATGTATTTATGTGTAAATGCTATTGACAGGGAATTTTGAATCTGACAGTTCTTCAAATGCTCAGAGCTATCAACTAAACACAATAAATATATGAAAAAGAATAAATAAAACATTTGACTGCAGTAACAAAATATACAAAAGTCTTCAGATGCAGAGAAACACATTAACTTATAAAAATATCTGATACTTTACATTTTAAAAACTAAATACATTTACTTTTTTGACAGCGTTTTGGTTTTATATTTTCAAACTAAATCTAAAAACTTAACTAAACTCTAATAACTTAGTTATTTTAAAGATCTCCTATCATGCTATTTTTAGGCATATATTATGGGTCTCAGATATATACAAATATATAAAAAAACATGTCTATGATGTGTTTTGCTCAAAATACCAAACAGATGATGCATTTTAGAAATCCCTCATATCCCTCTGTTTCAGCCCTGTTAGAGAAACGCTGATTCTGGGTCCTTAGCTTGAAAAAAAAAAAAAAAGAGGAAGGGGAGGTAATGCCTGCTCAGAAGAAAAGCTGCCGTGATTAAACGCCATCATGTTCCAAACCACTTCAAGGATTATTTCTGAAACAGTATGGAGCTCAAATGCTTTCTCTTTTGCCGGTTATACCACAAGGTGAGTTCCTTTTTTTATGTCCTGCTTTTTTACACATACTCTCTCTAGCGTTAGCTCTGAGTGTTAGCGATGCTAATGTAAACAAAGACCATTTTAAGTCCAAAACAGTCGGGCATTGTTTCTGATAGCAATGTTTCTGATAGGGCCGTGGGTCCACATTTCCGATATTACATCATATCGGACGCAAATCTGGATCAGCTCCGTTGTGCCCCCGTTTTTAGAGATTTGGGTACGGAGGAAAAGAGAGGGTTTTATTTTCTGACACTTTGTGAGATCCCTAAAGGACATTAAAAAGTGCATTTTGCATGATAGGAGACCTTTAAGTTATTTACCAGATTACATTTTAAATGCCTAATTACACAGCTTTGTGTTCATCAGTCGGTCACTGAGAAAGTACATTTGGAAATGACAGATTTGAAGCTACATCTGATGTAAAGAAACAGTGGAGTAAAGAGCAGGTGAAGCGTCTTCTGCGTGGCTAACGTCGGAGCTCTGTGCTACCCGAGGATCTGAGTAGAGGGCGTTATCTGTGTAGCCACAGGGGGCGCTGTGGAGCGGGGCAGCGCCACTGTTGGAAGAATCCACCTCCGAGTAGTTGAGATTAGCCGGGTCATCTTTAGTCTGCAAGAAAACAAAGAAAACTTTATTTGTCACATGATCATCATTTCAGGATGTGTACCGCTTCTTGTTTTTGGTTGTATGTACAAATCTATTTTTGCTTTATCAACCCGAAAATCTGTTTTTTTATATGGCACTTTTTCCTCCTCCTCCCCCCCCTCACACCTCCACATTCAGTCCGAGGACTTCCTGTTAAGATCAACGGAAGCTTGTGTATTGAGATGTGATCTGGCCTGGTTCCTCTTTCTGTTTCATGTTACTTTTATCTCTTGATGAACACAATCTTCATGTAAGTAGATTAAGTTAGTTTAAAACCAAATGTGTCTCATTAAAAATGTTTCCTCTGCTGTACAATAAAATATGTTTTCATTTGTCATATCGTCTGTCGTCTTTCAGTGTGAGATAGAGAGATGGCTTTTGTCACGTGTGATCAAATCTAACCCATCAACGGTTAATTAAAACCTCTCAAGTGTATTTAGGGTGTGTGTAGCTGAAAACCTAAACCCCTCCCACACTTCTGACTTACTTCCTTCTGAGAAGTGGCTGCAGTGACTAAGCTGTACTCGTCTGTGGATTCGACTCCGTTCGGTTGGTTTAGTTTGGCGTAGGAGTAAATGGTGGATGTTTCTGCAGGAGGAGAACTGCTCCCTCTGTCCTCCTCTCTGATCTCCTCATACAGTTGGTTATTCTGCAGGAAGTGAGAACAGGTTAGTATTGATATCAGCTGGTTTTACAAACATGAATATCTGAAATGTCCCAGATTTACTCGAACTCACCTCTGCATCAGAAACATACTCAGTTTCCATAGGAGTTTCTGAAAAATATGCAGTTCATGAGCTTCAAAAACAAAACTTTATAAGAAAAAACTTGACCTGACAGACCTGAACTCCTTTTTGGGTTAAAAAGCAACCAGACTCAAAAGATTAATGAGCTGTGAATCTACCTCTGTGTGTATTGAACACCCACTCACTGATCAACATTGTTTTTCCAAAAGACTCCTTCTTCGTATTTGTCCTAAATGATTCAAATTGAGTTTAGCGGAGTTTCTGAATTCCCTTTTTCTCTCCCCATGTCACTTCAATTCCACAGCCTCATATCTGTACTGTAAACATCCAATGAGCCCTGGTTACATGACAGATGAGGTCTTCAGGAGCATCAAAGACATGTATTCTTTTAATTATAAATTTGACTGTGGAACTGAAGTGCCATGAACAGAGAGGATCCAGACACAGGGATAAACTCAGCCTGTTAAACAACACATTTTGAGAAAAGATTCAACTTAACAGTCAAGTTGAAACATTTAGAACAAATAAAGAAAACTAAAAAGCTTTATGAACAAACAATCGGAATGATTTTTAAGTAAACGATCTATCCAACAGTTTGTCAAAAAAGCTTCTTAAATTAGGATTTAAATACATATTAATCAAATCACAGAAGTGTGCTATTTAGAAAGCGTATTCAAGTTGACTTGAATCAAACAATACACATTTTTAAATCTAAATGTCAATAGTTGTGTTATAATATCACAGATGTTACAAGGGAAACGATGGAGCAACATTATTGACTTTTAGAGCAGTGTGTTCAAAATAAGTTGCAAAAGGTCCATTTGTTTTTGCCTTTGTGATGCTTGTGTGTTCCTTTAGCCTCACCTTTCCTGGCTCTCTTCCTGCAGAATATCAGCAATGTAACGGATAATACGATGAACATGCCGAGCAGAATCAGACCAGCGTACAGCACCACACCTGAGAGCAGAAGAATACTTTGTTTACGCTGATACTTCCTGGTCCATAAAAACAAACAACAATCTAAAAGTACCTGGTCCATCTGGATCTCTCTGTCCCTGTTGAGGCTGCGTGATGCATTCAGGGGAGGCTGAGGAAGGTACAGAGCTCAGACTCTGGGTGGTGGATTCAGGGGAGGCTGATGAAGGTACGGAGCTCAGACTCTGGGTGGTGGATTCAGGGGAGGCTGATGAAGGTACGGAGCTCAGACTCTGGGTGGTGGTCAGTGTGGAGGCTGATGTTGGAAAAGGTCGGGGAGTCACTTCTGGTTTTGAAGAGGTTGGAGCTTTGCACAAAAGGAAATGCAAAATAAATGTATAAATCGAATCATTCCGTTAAATGAAGACGGTAATTAATGTTTTGTGAAACAATATTTAAATTAGCTGTAATGTTTGTAGTGGTTTTCGGATATGTGGCAGATTAACTGTTTTTTTATAAAAGGAGCATTTAAAATATGCAGCTCTAAATATAATTGTTACATTGAACATATTGGGTTATTTGAAACAGCAGCAGCTGTCAGCGAACAGTTATATCCAAAACTGCCAGTAGAAACTCACCATCTTTAACACTGATCTCAAAGTCCTGGTATGAGTCAGAGAGGAGAGATCTGACCAGACCACATTGGTACCGTCCTGTGTCAGACTTAGTCAGCTTTGTGATGCTCACATACACAATTACAGATAATACAGACCCTTCCACATATCTGATGCTGTATCTGCCTCTCTGAGCTGAGTCTCCGGTCGTTTCTACCAGGATGTTTCCTTCTTCACATTTTCCCTTACAGAACATCTTCCTTCCTCCAGAGAAAGAAAAGGAGCATGCAACTGTGATGTTTTCTCCTTCAGTTTCTGTACGGAGGGGGTTCTGTGCGTTGGTGAGCCCACTGTTTCCATCCCTCAGTGCTGTTGGAAAGAAGAGCAATCAATAGTTTCTATATTCCTGAACAGTTTCTATATTTCTGTACAAACTGTAAAGCCCCTGGGACAAATGTCAAATGTGTGATATTGGGCAATATAAATCAACTTTGATTGACTGATTCCTGTAATACACTGTAGTCTGATTTGCCAGTTACATAAATCATTAACAGAGCCACAGAGTCACACTGGGAGCTGCCCAGCTCAACCAGTCTGTCATATTAATTAACAGAAATATGAATATATAAGATAAACGTTATTAACCCGAGGAAAATTGCTTTGCAGTAGTTGCAATCCATACTGTAAAGAGTGCAAATACAAAAGGATAACATGAGATAAAAAAATCTGACATTATGATTAGGTGCAAACCCAAAACATAAACAATACGTCAGGGATAATGTTAAGGGTCATTATTAATAAACCACAACAGGGTAAACAGGGTCTTGAATCAACCGGTGAATTTATTACTGATTTGTTACTTCCAAAATACAACAAAAACTACTGGAATGCATTTTTATTTGGAAAACAATGCAGCAGAAATATAATAAACTAATATTTATGGGAAGAAATTAAATGAAACAGAAACAATCGTGTCTCTCAGGTAATAGGGTCATTTCTGATTGAGGAAGGTCAATAGTAGTTTCAATAAAAGACATATTTAAGTAATTCCAGCAGTGGAAAGTTACTAAATATGTTTACTCAAGTTGTGTACTTAAGTGCAATATTGAGCTACTGGTACATTACTTGAGTATTTTCATTTTCTGCTACTTTTACTTTAGTTATACTATATTTGATAACTTAAGTTACTTTGCAGACTCAAATTAGAAATACAAAATATGATCAACAAATACATTATTATTAGTTTAATAAATATGGATAAAACTTTATCCCTTGGTGAGATTTTTAAATGAGCTCCACTTTTACCAGATGAAACATTAAAGTGATGAAACCACATTATTCTGAAATGTGACATTCAGCATAACAAGAAGCCAATTTTTACTAAATCAGGTACATTTGGATCATAATACTTTTGTACTTTGTAAAAATGTGAATAAGATAAGATAAGAGGAAATTGTTGCGTTGCAGCAGCATAAAAAAACAAAACAAGGCATTGCACATAAGTATAAATTAAAGAGTAGAAATAAACAATTCTAGAATTTCAACATCTCAAAATCATTAAAACAGCATTAAAATGTAGAAAATATACAGTATTAGTAAAACATCTATACACTCTGAAATTGGGTTTTAATGAATGTTACCAAGTATTTCTTCTTTTACTTATAGTAGAAGTACTTCTTTCACCACTGAGTGACTCAAACCCCTATCGTCCTGTTGTAACCACAGAAACCAACGACATGTTAAACTGATACGAGATGTGAGGAAACAGAGAAGCCGTTTACCGTCCACTATAAAGTTTAACGGACTGTTAATTTAAAAAAAGATAAGAAAGAAAAATAACTTGTTAAAAAGAGACAGAATTACAGGAACAGTAAGTGATCATACTCACTGAGGAAGAAGAAGCAGATCAGAGAGTGACGGGCGTTCATGTTTGAGTCTCTGATGATTTAAGGCTGCTTTCTTCCGTCTCCGCTGCCAAAGCAGGAACTGTTCACTTCTCTAAATGATGGAGTCCGTCCTCCCAACACACGACACACCCTGAACTCTCCTCCCTTCTTATTTTAGTTTTTTAACTGCAAGTCATTTACTAGAACATTTAGAGAAGATTTACATTTGAACTGTGTTTGTTTGTAACATGAAGTGGCATACATGTCACGTTTATCTTTACAGTGCAATCAAATTCCTCTTTTAACTCATTTTAGTAATCTTGTATTATTTTTGTCAGCTCAACGTTTGTGCAATTCTTTTTTTTTGTAAATGATGTGTTTTTTAAGAACAGAGTATTGTCCATTGCTGCAGTATCTTTGAATCAAAATAATACGTATAAAGTATGTTTGCCCTCAATAAAAACAAATAATCAATGTAACATTAAGCAACACAGCATATAGCGTGAATTATTCAAATGTATTTCAGTCTATAGAGCACATTTTGGAAAGAACTAAGAGTAAATTAGTAGTAAATGTAGAGGCACGATGGTTAGGTTGACATTCAGGATGCTATTTTGGTAACATAATATCTAAAACGACTTGTTGAATGACAGAACAATAATCACAACCATCCTGAATACAAAATACAAATATGTATACAAATATGTGTATATCCTCTATATATACAATCAACGACACGTTTACACATATGCACACATTAAGATAAAACACAACAATATATACAAAATAACAGTCACTTCAATATCTTAGGGAATGTACATAGTGCAAGATTGTCGATAGCAGCGTAAAAAAGTGTCTGGTGCTGGAATTGAGTGTCTGAGTGTGTGGGGAGTTATAGTCCAGTGGGGGCATGGGGGAGAGAGGGGAGAGAGGGGAGAGAGTTCAGCCTCCTGACAGCCTGGTGTAAAAAACTGTTCTTTAGTCGGGTGGTGCTCGACCTCAGGCTGCGGAACCTCCTCCCTGAAGGCAGGAGGGTGAAGAGGCAGGTGGAGGGATGGGTGGGGTCACCCACAATGCTGAGTGCTCTGCGGGTGAGGCGGGTGTTGTAAATGTCCAGGAGTGATGGGAGTGAGGCACCGATGATTCTAATTTTAGCCTTAATTCACTGATTAACACTGAAGGGCCAAAAGTGAACAGCTTCTTCAGGAGGATGGAGAGACTACTCTATGAACTCACTGTGGACTGTCTGCACTGTGAAGCAACACCAACTGCAGTGTTGGAGCAGGAGAGCCTAATGGAGTTCACACACAAAAAAAAGGTTTGCCCCAAAATAACTTTTGTGTTAAGAAGAAGCACATTTTGTAAGATGCAGAAATATTAAATGTACACGTTTTGTAGCTCATTTGCTAAATTAATTTTAAAGACAGCGCTTTCAGTTTTCTCTCCTGCTCTGAATACAAAGTGAAGAAGAACTCATGCTTTACGATCTGCACTGAGAGCAGAGTCACATATTAAACTGTTGTTCTTTGAAAGGAAAAGTACATTTTGGCAATAAGCACAGAGCTTCCTTTGAATACATTTGATGCAATACGAAAGACTTTGAAAGAAGCACTATAAAGGATAAATATAAGGCTCTGCTTGAGAGTAGAACGGCACACAATCTCCTAAAGTCGTCTTCTCTACATTAGAGATTTGTCATTTTGATTCTATGCAGCTTTTATACTGTCAGCTGACCTTCATCCTCCTCCTCCTCCTCCTCCTCTGTGAGTTTATCTGTAATGTGCCACATCAATAATTCAAGCTCTTTATTTAAACCTCACATGTTGTGTTTTTATCAAGTCATTGTTTTCTTCTTTGAGCACTGTAAGTTTGTAAAAGGGAAATATTAACCAAGTGTTTGTCTTCCATTTCTAATCATTGTTATTTACATTTTTAAACTGTATTTTTTTTTGTATGGACAATAAAAGGGAATATTATTTATGCTGTTTTGGGTTTAGCTGTTGATGTCTTGTGTTGTGAAATAATTGAAAACAACAAAGATTAGACGAGAGTAGTTCATATGTATTTGTGTTTGCTGTGTCTTGTAGCGGCCATATTGTCCCAAGCTGTTTATAGTGTAGTCAGTTACACAACATGGCAACACAGAGCTGGAGGAGATTAGTGGATGGAAATATTTATTGTAACATTTAGTAAAAGATGAAGACCATATACTGTTTAAACTGCCAATGTTCAATTCATGTCCAGTTTATTTTCATTAAACTATGGAAATGACTGCGTCTGTTCTAATTCATTGTTTTTGCCCAGTCATTTTCTCTCACGTGTGTCTGCGTCTTTATAATTGGAAAGCGTCTGGAAGTTATATTTAATGACAACTGTTGACAATTATGCTGAATGATTGTAATAGTTTAAACCCCAAATTATATCCCAATTATTGTGCGATTATTGTGGAAGAATAGTTTAAATGTATCTTGTTTCACCACAGGCGGTGCTTACACATTTATTTATGTTTAAAGTGGACCTATCATGCTATATTTGAATAATCTATTGTAGGGCCATACCTATATAAAACATGTCTGTGAAGTTTTTTTTCCAAAATACCAAACAGATCATGCATTTTAGCCATGCCTCATTTCGCTCTATTTGCTGTATTCCAGCCCTGTTTTTGCAAGGGCTGATTCTGTGGCAAATGGGCTGCAGCTGACCACGCCCCCCTGCAAAGGAGGGGGGCGAGGCACGAGCGTCATGTTACCATGCTGTTACCATGCCACGCAACCTCTCATTCCCCTGATAGGTGGAGAGTTGGCCATATAGGCGGAGCACCCCGTTTCTGACGTCAGAACAATTTCAAATCTGTATCAGTCTGTATCAGATCCGTTGCAGCCCCGTTTTTAGAGATTTGGGTATGGCGGAAAAGAGAGAGGGTTGTGTTTTCTGACACTTGGTGAGTTCCCTGACACACCGGGGACACATATTCATGTATAAAAGACGTTCACAAGTGCATTTTGAATGATAGGTCCCCTTTAATACATTTTCCACAACATTTGCAAAGACATCGTTATAACATACTTAACATTTCTTAATATACATTTTTATGGCATAAAATGACAATCCTACAAGGTAAAAAAATGAAAACGAATGCTAAAACTATTGTATTTTTTATGAAATACTACAATATATAATGTTTTGACATTTTTTAGGACAAACCAAGATGTTGCAGTATTTTTGCAAATGAAAGGACTTTGTCTTGATGATTTGTGTCAAAGGAAAAGCCAAAACATATAATATCAAAGAGAAACTTTTAAAATACAAAATTTGAAGAAAAAACAGGGATATGTAATAATATATTTGTACGTATTGTACTCTAACACTTTGTTATGATTTTCTATACTATGACATTTGAATAACACATAATTAACTATTATTGCTACTTAATTGATATGACATACTGTAATTTTATTACTTTTTCTATATTTATCAAAATCAGTCAACCGGGAGTGAAAATATGGAAACAACTATTTTTTATCCTGAAAAATGCCTCCTCCATTAACCCCAAAACCACTGCACAATTGTCCAATTCAGCCAAGCCATTTTCTTACTTGTTTCCCCTATAATGGTAATTCATGCTTATTAACCTGTTCCACTCTGAGCCTGTTTTTCAGGTCTCAGGCTCGAAAATGACATTCCCAGAACAAATGACCATATCTTCCCTTCTAAAAGGGTTAAATTAATAATCTTTTCTCAAAGTAATGATAAACCTGTGAGTTGGATGTAGAAGTGTCAGAATCAATATAAATGTTTTTTATTTTAAAGAAAATTCAGATTTTACATAGTAAAAAACTGTAAATTATAGTGTCCGTCCAAAAATTATTTTTTACAGATAGTGAAAACTACCCTTGGATGATGGGTTAGTAGACTAAAAGCTTTAGGAATCCAAAGTACAACATATAATAAGTACCCTGTATCGAGATTGATGCAAAACAAGTGAAATTTGACCTTTTTAGAGAGATTTAGCCAAAAACTGGGCCATCTGGGGTCATTTGGGTGGATTTGACCTATCTCTGGCCCCCCTTGCTCGATCTGGTTGGTTGACATACCCTTGTGACCGTTAGAGCCAATAGAATCGAAGGAGGAGACTCACATAGACATACATTGTAAAGAAAAAATGTTGCCGCTTCGCGTGTGGAAAGCGAAACTAAACTGGAGGAATGTCTCCTTCTGGAGTTTGGAAACTAAAACGCAGTTGTATTGCTTATGGATTATCAGAAATAATTTCAAAGAAGGCACAGACACATAGGATGAACCTATGGATTAACTGCAGCATCGTTTTTTTATCGTTTTAATGCCATTGAAGACCACTTTTGACCAAGGTAAGTCATATTTACATGTTTAGCTTCTTGGCTCCACATGTGATGATGTACGCTTTCGTTGATAGCGTCGCGAATGTTTATCACTGAGTGTTGAGGTGGGCACCGTTAGATTCAGTGTCTCCAGGACACCAAAAAATAGTGTTTGGTTGTGCATCTAGGATAAGTAATAAGGGAGTTCTGAGTGAGTTTATGTGCCTTTGTCGGTCCCGTTTTTTCGATCGAGGCTAATTCAGAGGCTGAGTGCTAGCATTGTGGGTTTTTTTTGAAAAAAAAAATTAAAAAGATCAGTTAGCTGAGTTTCTTCCCGTTACATGGATATAACACATTCATAGTTTTATTCAATATTAAGATTCCTTAGACGTTGTTTCCTGCAAATGACGCGTTTATCCGCCCGGTACCGGGGGGAAGGCGTGAAACAGGTTAACGCAACATCTGCTGAATGTACAAATTGCCCAACATATGCAGGTTAGCACCCGGCCGTTTCTATGTGCTGGGGACTTTACACTTCTAACATAAAACTTTGGTGTACTCAACATTTCCAGGTTCACAGCAGCACTGCATTATTGTATAGGTCTTAAAGGATTTAATCTTATTTTATTAATCTAACATGCTTTAATAGCAATATTTATTTTTAAGTTGGTCTTTTTTATTTCTTAACCTTTTAACCTTTATTAGAATTATGGCATTTTTATAACCATTATC